AACAGAAGAAGACATCTGGTCTTCCTTTTTATGTACAATATAAAGTGACCTATGGTCGCCCTAAAGATGTACGATATAAAGTGACCACTGGTCTTATTAACTTTTTATTACCTCTGGTATTTGCATAAAGATTATGGAAACAAGCGGAAGTCTTATATTGTCCATCAATAAGGATTTCATACTTCACAAATTGTAGTATATGAATGAGAAAAAGGTAATCTTATGTTTGTACGTTATTACGATGTTATTGAAAGTTGTAAGTAGGCAATAATTTAAAATCATGGTATGTGTAGAATTATTTTTCAAATCCTCTCGAAAAAAGAATTGCGACCCTAATTTTTTGACCGAGGAAAAAGTGCAGATTTTCTCCGAATTCTCTAAATGTACATGTATGTAATTGGAATTTGGAGGATTAGTCAACTTGCTTGTCTTCAAATACAGTATATGTATCCCAAAGTTAAATAACAATTAGTGCATTTTTTAAATTTTATTTCCTTTTTTTAATGTAGTTTTGATGGGTTTATGAATTTGATGTGTTAATTAATTCCAGGGAAAGGGGAGGAGAACACCATGCAGCACCAAACTTTGTAATACAGGGTGTACATCTTCTTTGTAAGATAAATATAAATCAGGGATTTCCGGCAAAGAGTGATAAAGTGATGAGGTCGCCTATTTAGCATGACCTCATAAGGAAGACAAAAGAGACATTAAATAATTTATTAACAAATAATTATTCCATTATGTTAAAGGATTGGTGAAAAGTCCGAGCGAAATGAAAAGGGGGTGGTAGGGGGCAAAATCTTCACTCCCCCCCCCCTGCTTGTTAGAGATCTGCGAATGCAGAGACTGGACGTACGTCGTTTCCTCTGAGTCGCTTACTATTAGCTATAGTAAGGAGATCAGAGGTTAGGCACTGTGTTATATAGATACTATAACCTTACATGGAATAATAAAATCATTAGGGAGACCACAGGTCACCCAACATAATCCATAGATGTTAAACTCTGATATATCATATATCTTATAATATTGCAGTTAATGTTGCTCAGCAACCCCCCTCCCCCTCTTTTTTTTCTAATACCCATCACAGATGGTTATTCCCTTGACAAAAAAAAATTTTCTGTTTTTTTTTTACAATGAAAAGGCTTCACAGTATTACGATTTATTCTATTTTCACTTTACGTATGCAACGCACTACATTTTGTAGCGGAGTAAACAGACCCGATAGACGTGAACTGCGCGGGGGACCTAAGGTCCTAGTTCAGCGTACGTTTTATCCTTCTGCTTTACAAAACGGAAATTCGAGAACTATAAACTTCAAACTGGCAAATAATGATTTCCGGAAAAGTGATTAAATGTGTTTTCATAATCAAAGTACTGAAAATACTGATGGGGTTTGATTTTAATAATTGATGCAATAAAATCCCGTGTTTATAACTTTGTTCATATCTTTATAAATCATATAAAACCTTTAGCTTCATGATTTGTTATACAAGAATCAAATGTCTAAGAAATTCTGCAGAATCGGGAAATTAAATGGAAAAATTCCTCGACAATATTCAGTGTGTATATATAATAACATAACAATTAATGTGGAAACGATAGTCAGCATATGCTTATTGATAAATTGTATTTGCAGACAAGGTCATTGTATCGCCCATAGAACTTGCAAAATGACGCTTTTAAACGAGACTGTGGATATTCCTGTTTCAGCAACTTGTTTTTCAATAGTTTACCTCGTTGTGGAAAATATTCATATATATATATATATATATATATAGAGAGAGAGAGAGAGAGAGAGAGAGAGAGAGAGAGAGAGAGAGAGAGAGAGAGAGAGAGAGAGAGAGAGAGAGAGAGAGAGAGAGAGAGAGAGAGAATATAACGGGACGCATTTTGTACCCATTGGAATTCCGAAAACATAATGGCTGTTGAAGTTGAAAAGTCGAAAGTTTAAAGCACTTCTGCTGTTGATTATGTTGATTTGGTAAAACAAAAATTGATTTCAAATTCTTCAAAAGTTCCTTTGAATTTTTCAGTATCCACCTCTCATTTACACCACTTCTCCAATATATATTATTACACAGTACTTCCGTAGTTTCTCATTCACTAACCACTGTTTAAATTTTAGAAAGGAGTAAAGAAAGAGAATTGGTAGAAAACTTACTGGAACCCGCTATGTATCTTTGTTTGTGAGGATTTTTGAGAGAAGTTTTGGAATCCAGTACAGATACAGCATGAATGGTAATTCATATTCAATCTGGTTGATAGAAATATTAAAAATATTCTGAACTGATATAATTATGATTTTGAAGTATTTCTTTCTTAGAAAGAGAGCTATGGGTATTAGTTAGGTTGCCACATGTGGAATTCAATCCATTTTTTTAAAAATACAATTCTAAAAATGAGCCTTACAAACAAAGACAATTCTCTTACCTGCTTTGTCCGCAGGCACCGCAACATACTGAGCTTGTAATATTTTATAGATTTCTTTTTATCCAGTTCTGAATTAATTACTGAATACAGAAGGAAATATAAGAAAAATAACATGGTTGGTTATACAGACCTTGTTTACAATTCTTTTGATTTAATCAATAAAGTATTTAAAAACAAGTGAAATATTCTACCAGTTACTGGTATTGGACTTTTACAGTTGACGGATTACTTTCACACTGGGAAAATATACGAAAGCTCTCTAACGATATTAATATTTAGCTCAACATTTAATTAAATGAAAATTACGAGTTATTTCAATGTACCTACAAGTTGTCCTTGAAGTAAATCGACAACCAACTTACCCTCAACTCCCGACCTTCACATGTAAGGGCCTCTAACACCATACCTATGACCACTAGAAAGGTTTTCTTATGTATTATCAATTCTGTACTTTCGTACATGATACAATTAAGTTTAAATGTCCACGTAAACCGTCAACTGTAGAAGTCAGTGCTTCTCGTAAATGTCCAGTTGGCGGTAAATCTGCTTCTTGCTTTTTATCACACATGCGCGACAACCTTCAGATTAGACGGTAACGCTAAATAAAGGCATACGCAGTAATATGGAATCACAGGATGTATATTTTCTGTTTATTTAAAAAAAAAGATCTATCACACATTGGTTCTTTAGTTTGTTTAATGTATCGTGCGATTTTTTTACTAATACCGAAACGCAAAAACTAGCTGGTGGATCTATGTAGACCAAGGTTCCGTGTCGCAGTAGATAATGGCATGAAAAAACCCACTACAATGCAAAGGCATTGGTTTTTATTCGGTCATGCCCAGGACCGGTCTACATAGGTCCCAGAGTAGGATTCGAACCCTTAACGTAAGGATCAACTGCTCATTCCGCAAAGCCACTGTAGAGCAAACACTACCACTGCGTCACACATTGAAATCCGGTCACGTGATTATACAAGATGGTCGCACGATTTTTCGCTCTTTGTAGTTTAACTGGATAATCTGTGAATTTTCTAGAGATTGTGTATAGAGCTAACAAACAGTATTCAAGCTCAACAGTCCATAAAACAGTAAAAAATAGGAACGGAGCAAACACGGACCCCCAAAACATTCGTGGTGGGATCATGTGGCATGGAGGAGTGAGCATCCCCTGCCAGCCGGTCACATCCGCCGTTTGCTCCTTGTCATAGTCTGGGAATAAAAGAAAAATCCGTCGTCAATTCAGTGTGCAAATAATGGCCTAACAGTTAGTATAAAAATGTCTGTCATCATTTGACTCAATCATAAATTGTATTTACTGACAAGGGCATTGTATCGGCCATACAACTCACGAAAGATGATTTTAAACGAAATTGCTGATATTCTTGTTTTATCAACTATAGTTTGTCAATAATTTATCATCTTTTTAAAAATGGTACATACGTACAGCATGCTCTTGTCTATCGAATCAAATGAGAGATATAAACTCCGTATATGCAGGTGATAAAGATATATTGCTGCATAAGTAAGGGAAGTTAATGATTGAAAAGTCATCACGTTTATCACAGAGCTTGGTTGGTAGATTACCATTAACCTAATATCCAAATATAAAACAGATGTGTCAGACTCTGTCATATCTTTAATACCCATCTCACCGGGATATACTGTACATGTATCGACGTAAAAATTGAGATAACGAACAGTATATAAGCATTGAAGTCTATTCAAATAATACAAATTATAAGCAGTGCAAACACGGACCTCTAAGTATCAGAGGTGGGACCAGGTGCCATTTAGAAATGTGTATCTCTTACAGACCGGTCAAAACCACCGGGACATGAAAAAAAATCCGTCGACAATCCAGTGTGTAAAAATGACGAAATAGCAAAGACAATGTTTTTGGGGACCCGAAATACCCGGTACGTGTGCGATAAAAATGTAAAATAGGAGGTCACAATGGCATTATATGAAAAAGAATCTGTGAAAGTATCATTAAATTTTCTTCAGTGGTATAGGACGAGTTGAGGATACGAGATGGTTACAGTTAGAAAGAATGAAACTGTCCATGTTTTACTCTGGGAAACTCAAAATTTGTGTCAGATGTTAAGCTGGTGCACAATGACACAATGCTACAAAGATTCTGTGAAAATCTCATTGAATTTCTTTCAGTGCTATAAGAGGACTTGCTGATAACAGATAGGTACACCAAAGCGTAACGGATATGGATTGGTTAAGACGTATGCCTTTGAATCTGGAGGCAACGACATTAACATCAAATTAACTTTTCAGTTTGGAACATGGAGCATGTTTGATTTTTATCACAACTCACACTAAAATCACTTTTAAAAATAAGGTTTAAACTGAAAACTTAAATTATCATGTTTAATATGAATATCCATTTCTTTTTTTGTTGAGTATATATAATTACAAAATTCATCTGCTTCATGTATACAATTACAAAATTAATTTGTCTGCCACATGTACCAGTATATAATTACAAAACTTGACAAAACGATGGAAAAATATGTTTTAGTGAATATAATAGTTGTAACCGTAGTTGTTTGCTTTCTGTTGCAGGTCCTCCAAATATTTCAGAAGGTACAACATCATTTGTGACATGGAAGTGGGTTGATATAACACTCAATATAAATGTAACGTCATATCTTCCATTAATGGCAGTTTCATGGGAATATACGATGAATTCTAATATGAATACGTACGTGCCGTTTAATATTACATCCGTGTTGAGATACTCTGGTGGAACATTGTCATCTCCATCTCTGACAATAAAAAATGTGACCAACAATGACGACGGATTCTATAGATGTGTAGTGTCAAATCGTGATGGAACAACAACCAGCTCTTCCTTCTATATAAGAATTGAAACAAGTAAGCACATACTTGATCTTCTGAAAACATTCGTATTTGTTCTAAGACGTTTTTCTTTCGACAAACGTATAAAAATCAAAATCTTCAACTTTATCTTAACAGAATGTATAACATAAGACAAGACAGTCATAAAATTATGAATTTTATATTACGTTTTTACAGCGCTTCCAGAAGTATTAGTTGGGACAACGTCGATTACAGTCAAAACAAGGTATAACACAACCAAACTTTCAATAATCACGTTCATAAAATTATAAACTTTATGTCGCGTTTTTACAGCGCTTCCGGTAGTATTAGTTGGGACAACGTCGATTACAGTTAAAACAAGGTCTAACACAACCCTCTACGTGAATTACACATCCGGACCGGAAATGAAGTCAGTCACGTGGGAAAAGCGAGATATGACCAATCCCTTCATATTTCATACAGTAAATATTACTGACAATGATCGATACAGTGGAGGCTCTATTGATAAACCATATCTGGAGATTACTGATGCTATGGTGGAGGACAGTGGTTATTATCGATGTATCGTCATTAACAACGATGGAATGTCAACAACTCCTTTGTTTAACATCAGTGTTCAAAAACGTAATAACATGTGTTGGGTTTTTGTTTTATACTAGAACAATATTTTAAAACAACTTTTACAGGACGTGTGTCATATAAAAGAAATATTTGTTTAACTGAATGAGTAATTAAAAAAAATTACATTATACTAGTAACACATATATTTCTTTATGAAGTTAATGAGAAGAATTGTTCAGATTAACGGGAAAATGTAACATTAATTTAGAGGTAACACATCTTAACGACATTACTTATGCACATATATAAAACGTTTTCGATGCAACATGTACATGTACATTATTTTTATCTTTCTAACAAAAATCTCATATTTCTCTTCTGTTAAGGGGTTTAAAAGAAATATTCTCTTTTCATTTCAGAGCTTGCAACTGTAAAAGTACCCGTCACGTCATACACAGTAAAAGAAGGGGACAATCTCACCTTGTCTGTGATGTTATCGGACACAGAGAATAACTCAACAATAGTATGGGAGAAGAAAGGTGTCGATGATTCGACGTACACTCAAATCGACATATCATCGAACAAGAAATTCGAGGGGGGTTCGATTGCATCTCCTTCTTTATCTATATTAAACATCACCAACGATGACTCGGGGCATTATCGATGTAAGGTCATTAGTATAGATGGAACAACAACAAGCACGGCAATACAAGTCAGTTTGGAAACTTCTTCTGAGGGTGAATATTATTTTCTTTTAATTTATTAAATCAAAATAATTTGGACAATTTAATGAGTTCAGTATAAGTCGGTATAAAACTAAATAGGGCTCAAACACATAATCACTTATGTATTGTAGGTGGGTTAATAGCTCAATATAGATGCATATACATGTGATATATATATATATATATATATATATATATATATATATATATATATATATATATATATATATATATATATATATATATTTATTGTCGGAATTTGCAGAATCTAGTTGTGGTAAACTGAACTGCGGTGGTCTTAGAGAATGTGTTTATCATAACAACAAACCCACGTGTTCTGTGGTCACGTGGAAAGCAGCGGCTGCTGGTGTTGCTGGTGCTGTAGGGGCAGTTGCCACAGTTGCTGTTGCTGCGATGAAGTCTCTGGCAGCTGCCAAGTAAGAGTTAATATGTAATGGTGATATTAACACAATACTCATTATAAAAAGAACTTTCGTTTACTGAAGCAAGTCTCTGTCGTTTCATTTTAGGTCGGTAAGTCCACTGAACATGAACAGTCCTGGAAACTCTCAAACCCCAAACACAAATTCAAAAGCGGAAAATTCAAAGCCTGAAAATGAAAAGATTAAGCAGAATAAGAAGAACAATAGAAACCAAAAGGATACGCAACAAAACAGCCATGACAGTGAACATGATATGCCTGAGCCCCAGTATACGGGCCAGTGTCAAGGAGTCATCTCTTCAATGCCCCCGCCTGGCGTATAGTTTACAAAGCTTATCTCACCACTTATTATTTAGCAAAGTAATGAATAGAAAGATCTTTACTTACAATAGAACAACTTTTATTAACAGGCTGAAGAATGATCGCAGTTACATTTATTTTTTAAGCTTAATTTGCTGCATGGAGATATTTAATTAAGGATACCCGTACGATTTCATGTTAAGCATTTACCTGTTATTATGTATAATTATGTAATTAGTTATATATTAATATATAATGTAATACTATAAAAATTAGCAGATCCTTAGATTGTAACACGTATTTCTCAATTTCAGCCTAATAATAAGGTATACTAAGATGAATTCAATGAGGTTGTGTGGTCAGCTATTTCACATCTAAATCTTCAAACAAAGCCACCTCTAAATATGAAATGTGATTTTCTAGCATAAAATATTAATATATAAAAACAAAATTCATTCTAGCTCTAGAATAGCAATTTCAAAACTCGTTTCAAAAAGTACAGTATAAATTGACCAAAAAATGACCACTTTTCTGATACAGCCTTCTAAGCCTAGGGAATACAAGGTTTATATAAATATTCGGGGGTAAACACAAGTAAAAAAGTTAACGTACATCGTACATGCATGATCTAAGGTTTAATACTTATATACGAGTATATATATATATATATATAAAGCACATATTACAACAACTCTTAAACTAATATAACTGTCCTAAGTGAAGGAATATTAATATAGAAAGCACAGAGAAATTCACTTTTACAAGGATACTCACTACCGCCCCAGCCCGGGGTTGAACTCTCGACCTACGGAATCTGTCTCCTAGCAGTACAGGAACAGCGCGTTAGACCGCTCGGCTATCTAGGCAACTTAAAAAACTTGCTTTCGATGCCGATTGAATTCTCACAATGCTGCCCTACATACACGGTCATTGAGAATGGAAGTGAGATAGTTATTTATATATATACCAATATATGAAATTATATTTATATATTACTCTTAAATAATATAACTATATATAAGTGATATATAATATATATATATATATATAGCACAGAGAAATTCACTTTTACATATATGTATGTACAAGACAATGTTTTCTGTGATTTATTTAAATTGTTGTACTTATGAATGTACTAATAATTCCAGTAAGACGAGTTTGCTTTTTTGTAGAGATAGCTATGAATAGTATGTAACATGCTTTTATCTACATGGTCATTTAATATAGATGAAATATTAAAATATGTTTGCTGCTTGTTTCAATCAAATTAAAGTCTTTGGAACAAATGTGTGTATTTTTCTTTCCTCATTTTAATACAAAACGTAAATTCCAGGCAATATAAGATTATAATTAAACTTTAATGTTAAATACTTAAATCTTACTAAACAAACTTTATTATGATTGACCAGAAAAAATTACCAAAACAGCCCTTTGAACACGTATACCCCCATTTTTGGAATAACGTTTTTCAATCATTTTTTACAAAATTTAAAATGAAAGTAAAATTAAAAAAGATGATATAGGCCTAAAATCTATAAAAATAGATCTCAAGTTAATTTGTTTGAAAAAAAAATAAGAAGGGTTAGGTTCATAAATGCAATTAAGAATTTTGTGTCTGTGTATGTTCTAAAAGCATATAAATCCTATGGACAAAGTGTAAAGTATTAATTTCCATAAATAGTATATATTAAATGCTTTGTATTCAAATGACACTGTAAATTAATGAATATATACTTATTAAATTATTTTCAAGCAACCAACATATTTTATTTAAAAAAAAAAAGTGATAATCAGAAGTTTATATTGGTGTGTAAAATTAAAACCGGATCCGTAAAAGCATGGACCTTTCTTAAGAAGACATTCAGTATAATAAAATAAATGGTGCCTGTTTTGGAGGGTAACGTTGAAATTGCCACCCCTCGGAAAACCGTTGTCAACCTCCGCTGACGCGTCGGTTGACAATGGTTTTCCTTGGGGGGGGCAATTTCAACTGTTACCCCCCAAAATAGGCATCATTTATATAATGGTTCATATGACTGGCAGAAAATAAAATTCAATAGAAATATTATATTACTTAAAACACGGTACATTATTTTAAGCGAATTGAGACTATACTTTGAGAATCAGTGTTAAATCATGCTCATTGTTAGGACATTACTTGCAAAGTGAATTGTCGAGGTTTTTTTTTTTTTGTTTCCTAAGGAGCACACAACGGGTGTGACCGATCGGCAGGGAATGCTAACTCTTCCATGACACCTGATCCAACTTCTGATGTTTTTAATGTCCGTGATTGCTCTGATCCTAAGAGAGTTGTCCGTAAAGTTCGTGGACAATATTGATAATTACTGACAAACGTTGATAAAAATATTTGAAACTATTATTTTCATAAAATTCATGTTTTCTTTTATTAATATGCATGATTTAAACAAAAGAAAAGCACAAGAACATGTAGTTATGTTATCGTTATCAGATACAAAAAAAGACACACACTCATACCCAGATTAATAAAACGGAAATCCTTGACGTTACACGACGTCAAAAGCTAAATTCATGCAACTTTTCTAAACAGAGTCACTGCATTTCTTATGTCTCTTTTTAAAACCAGTCATCAAAAATGTGCAATAAATGTTCAGGCTTCAAACATTAAATAATATTTAACACTTCTGTCTCAGATCCTGCAAATCATCAACCTCAGTCCGCTTTAAAACGGTTATATGTACGGAAATACGTCAAAATCTCGTTACGAACTTCAATTTTTACATTATTTTAATCTCGGAATTATGATCTTCCTTCACGCATGACATCCTGTAAAATGTCCCTTTCGTCTGAAAATCTTATATGTCACTTAAATACTAATGATCGACTTCCTTTATCCTCTTTTCCTAACTGTTTAAAGAATTTATGGGTCTCTTGGTGTTTTTCAGATTACACAGAATTTCGTCACTGCTCTCTACTCCACCTTACCCGAAAACGTTCTATTAGATCTTTCTAAGCCATTCCGTAATTTTTTATGTTCAAATTTTGCAGGTTTGTTTTAAACTGTTGTCAACCTCGTACTGTAAAAGCAATCAACATTTCACCAGAATTTAATTAAATAGAAACCAAATTAATAAAGTGATAAAAGTATATTCTGAAAAAAAGATTTTACACAGCACAGCATTTTTCTGACCTTAACCATTTTATCTAAAAGATTGTTAAAGGTAACCGCTCACCCTCTACCTAAAGGTACTCTATGGATGAGGTATGAGGCCGACTGATTGAGCCAAGGGAAGAGTAAATATAACCTGAACAATAATTTTACATATTAAGTTTTTTTTTTTTATTTTCACTTTTTTCGAAGAATTGGCCCAAGGTCCCAGTCCCCTCCTTCAGTTCATCTAAAACTTATACCGCTAGTAATACATACGCTCTCCAAATTTTCTCAAAATGAGCTAAAAGCAATTGAAAGCTTTACTGGGAACCAATTACAATTAGATGCAATATTGTCTGGATCTCTGTCTGTGACATTGTGTATAAAGGAATACGACGGGGTTTTGTTGAAAAATACGTAGAGGACTGTTTAATTTTAATTTTATACCATTTATAACTTACATTGACTTCAGTGTATATGTACCGTAAGACCCCTTAAATAGATTAATATTTAGTATATAGGATACGTCCACTGGAAATCATTCCTTCCTCTTGACACTGGCTCGGTCAAATAAAATATAATTAAATCAACAAAATATTTTCTCGTTCATTTATCAAAAAACTTTACATTCTGCAAATCAATGGTATTTTGCCTTTTTAATTTTTGCTAAAAATGGCAAAACATTTAAGTTTAGAAATATCTCTGTCAGTAATAAATCTCTCTAGGCAATATGCAGACCTAGATTTCAACGTCCGGGTTTCGGTTTACGGTTTTAGTTTTGGGTACGGTTTTATGGTATAAAACCATTTG